CTCCAAATTCTACTATTTTGATATCAAGCTTCGCCCTATGTGAATTCCTCGGCGATAGCTTTGCTGCCAGATTATTATTATTGTTCATTTCTGTAATGCTCGGCGTTTTTGTATTTAGGAATCAGCGATCGTTTGGATTTTGATTCATTTGCAAATGTGCCTGGAAAAGAAACGTCCTCCAAATGCATGTATTAATGCGCGTATTGTTAACCGGTCGTGTTTGTATCCCTGCGCGGAATGTCACATTTTTTGTGTAGTTCGTGTGCCTCGACGTTTCTCCTGCACATTTCATGCTGTCCACCGATGGCAGAAATCCTATAAGAGCTGTCATGGCAAGAAGCGAGAGAAGGGAAATTATCAAAAATGTTTTCTGTTGTTGTATTTTATTCGCAGTTCCACATATTATAGGCCCGAAGATGAAACCTACTAACGCTCTCGCACCAATTATTATTCCAATTTCAAACCCAGTGAAGCCTAACTGTTTAAAATAAACACCGTAGTATGGAATAATGGCACCAAGTGCGCCCCCAATGCAGAGGTAGTAAAGTTTGTAGGGCAACAACCCCATAGATACATGCAACATGGCTGCCAGCGTTCGAGGTTTGTTTGTTGATTGTGTCGTATCTCCAGTGGCTCATTTGCATTGCTGGCCTCCTGGACCTTCTCTTCCATGGTCGCAGACATCTTCAGAATAAAGGTTTGGTTTCAGTGACCAGCAACGTCATATTTTGTTACCTAGGAAAAAAAAATAAACAAATAAATGAAATTACATTCAATTTGTGTACGGTCAAAATACACGTAGGGCATATGAATTGTAAGAAAACGAATCAGGAAGATAGGGGGTCTAATAGTCACACCAGCAACTTTGTAGGTAACTAACTTAATAATGGTAGACAAGCCAGGCAAAATGAGAATCTGCATGATACAGAGAAGTCACTATTGTAAACAATTGTCTATGATGGTTGTAATAACTGGGTGGCTCGTCAGGTTGAATCTACGGAAAGTGGTTATATGGTGGTTAGTTAAAGCGGGGGAGTCGTCGCCTGCACCAGATGGCCATAGCGTGTCACAAATAAGCGTCTACCCATGAGCCTGTGCGTCTTTAGCATGCGTTGTTATTGTCGCTTGGGACTCAATTCAGTCACATAGACACAAATAATAAAATACAATCAGGTTTTTATTACAAGTACGACCGTCACCGCATGCTTCCGGTCCCGTTGCAACTTACTAGTAAAATGACTAATTTCACTGATTTACCATTTCAGGCATATTGGGTTTTAAATTCACGGTTTTATTATTTAGATAATGTGTTTTATGCTAAATTTTACATATTCACTGGGTTTTAATTTACGCATTTTCCAGCCAGCGAAATAAGCAAAATTAAAACCCAGTGAATAATTAACCCTTTTACAGTAAGCCATTATTGCAGAAAACGACACAAGATGACATGATATGTAACCACGTGACCATATTATAAAGACATACGCACTGAGTTTACATCATGGATTATCCTATGTAACAGATTCTGTTAATACCCCCGGGGATATTAAATATGATATTAGAGTAAGCACACCTTGGAATTGTGTTGTTAGCATAGAGAATAGGAAAACCACGGTTTCATTTTTTTTATATCGTACGTGTGAAGTAGCCCTGCTTTCTTGGTGTTTTACGTTTTAGTATGGACACAGTTAGACACGTCACAGGGTGTACAGTGCTTGACGTCTGTACACTACATGTTCTATCTGCAGCAGGTGGTTGTTTTGTTACCATGATATGGGCAATATGATGTTTATATGGAATGGCGACAGGTTTCAACATTACACGATTTTATATTGTAAAATGCATATTCATCGTAGTTAGTTTGGTGTCATTGACTTGTAAATTCACTGAATTGACGACTGAATATCGTTTGCGCACAAAAAACAATAACTTCGGCATTTTTTCGAAAGTGAAATCATAATTTGAATCATACACGAGTTGTTAAGCACACTGCATATTTTACAATCAGCTGCTTTCAAACACAATTCAAGATAAATAGATTTAAAAAAAAATATAGAGAATATACCATCATATCAAACAAATCACAGTACCGTCGAATGTATAGAAGAAATTGAGAAAAAAATAAGTTGTGCCTTAAACTGTCCAAAACCAAATCCAACACCATATATGTATTTGCATTGGTTGACCAATATTGTTGAATAACATTTATCAAATTAAATTAAATTAAATTAAATTAAATTAAATTAAATTAAATTAAATTAAATTAAATTAAATTAAATTAAATTAAATTAAATTAAATTAAATTAAATTAAATTAAATTAATATTTGTCTGATGTCGCACAATCGATTATACATATTGTCTTGTATTGTCAGATTGGGGTAGGGTCGCTAGGCTAGAATCTGGTGGGATCTGGCTGGGACACTGTAATCAAAATACTTTACTGGAGGTGAGATGGGAGGAGAACGGACATGGCAAACTGGTATGAACACCAAATAAGCCCCCGCCAGTAGATATTATGTTCACCAATAATCATACACATATCAAAATTCCCTTAAACACGTATTTTTTGAGGTATCTGCATCGCACAGGGACATTTAACGCATATGGCGAGACAACTAAATAGTGCTACCATTCCGTACCTCAGTGCTCACCCATATACCATCCATGTGGCAGCCGACTGCGAATCACGCGCTGCTCTCGAAAATAACACACATATCTCTGTTACCATCATACGTACCAGGCTTTGATAAATCGCATTTTTGACGGTTCAATTGATACTTCCGGTGTGCAATCAAAGAAAGACATACGTACTTAATCGATATTTCCTTTAAAATTTACACCTCTAATAGCAATAAATACTCGATAAATCCTTGCCAACGTGTCGGTGAAACCTGGGTCAGTTTCTATCGAATAACCCATCGAAGTACCACAGCTGTATAACGCTCGCTATTACTTCCGTTTGATTACACACGATGGCGGTGGATATAAATATATGAATAATATTCAAATATGCAAAGGACGGGTCAAAGGTCAAATCCTTCTGTGACAGTTGTTACAGGACTACCCCACGCAAAATAAAACACATATCGAAAGAGATTCGCGTATCATATGACGTTAATAAACAACTTCTATGCGAAGTAAAATCAACTATTGCCAATTTTTTCATAAATTCTACTAGTAAATGGAAAATTATGTCATTTTGGTCAAAAATTATTATATATATTATAGAAAAATATTTAAAGGTATGCACAATTTCTGAATTTCTATGTACAATGCATGCAGTTACGATATGTAAATGTTGTAGCTACCAGTGGTGTTTAAAGGGCGGTGGTCGTCGCGCTGCGCTTGTTCGATTTTCATGTAAACAGTGTATTAAAGGGCGGTGGTCGTCGCGCCGCGGTTTGTTCGATATGGGACTCATAGCGACGTATACAACGCGTGTAAAATACATTGTTTGTTGACATGAAATTCGAACACGCGCTGCGCGATGACTACTGCCTTTTTATCAAAGTGTTATTCCACAGTTTATCAGCACAACGTAGGCGACTAATTTCAGTGGCGCCTGATGTTCGTGTCTATGAGATCTCGTTGAAAGCGAGAAAGCCACGCAACTCAGATTCTGAAACAGTTGCATGTGCCAATGTGTTACATGATGCACGTATGAACAAGTTAGCAAAACGACTTTAAAACAACATTCGTTTCAGACAAAATGGTCATCAGTCAGTCATTTTGAATCAATTCTGGGGAGAAATGGCGTGCACCAATTACATGACACAATGTGGAGCTAGTTTAGTTGTGTGATTTCCTTTCTTTATTCTATGATATTCATAATGCATTTGTAACATGAAAATGACC